TTGGGAGTTTTTCTGTGTTAGGACACTTCTTAGGAGCCTTTTAGAGTTTATGTACCAAATAGTGTCCTCAGTCAGAGAAAGCATCAGAAGGTGAAATACCAGTTCCCAGCCTTCCCGTTAATTCGTTTGCCTCATTAAATTTCTCCTACAATTTTGATTTGATATGGAGGTCACCTTCATTTTCTGCTAAAGCTTTTATGGAAAGTTATTTTGTACTTTTAAACAGCTGCTGCTCTCCAGGAGGCCTTCCTTTATTTTATAGCAAGCAGGCTGTCTCTGCACAGGCTGGCTAACATCTAAAAATGGTCAAGGCCTCAGGATGGGGCAGGACAGGGCCATCTAATGTCTTTGAAGTGATTATTTCCTTGTTTCTAGTTGTAACCCCATACATAGCTAACACCATGACTGTGGGTGGTATGAAATAAATGTAGGAGGATGAAAACAAGGCTTGCTCAGAAAACAATTGGAAAACTATATTGTTTAAATGTTTAAGATGTTGCAGACATATTCACTGCACTGTTGTTTATCATAGGAAAAGACTGTAAACTCTAATAATAAAATATACATTCATATACTGGAATACATTCATACACTGGAATAAAATAAGACCCCAATAAAATATGACATATGCATACATTGGAATGCTATGCAGCTATTAACAGGAGTATGGTAGCTTCATGTGTGATGACATAGAACAATGTTAATGGTAAGGGGAAAGAAGCAAGCAGCAAGAATGTACATCATGCTTTCATTTGTAGTCCATAAGAAGAAAAGGGACGGCCATACACACACAATGTATATGGGTAGATTATCTCTGGAAGGACGCATAGGAAACTGGCAATAGTTCTTATTTGGGGGCAGAGGGACTGGGAACTGATATTGAGATAGGCCATGCTCAGTTTCCCTGGGTTTGAGTTTCAGGACACACCTCTTGTTTTCAAGCCACTCCCCAAGGTCTCAGGCCCCTCCCCTAGGCTTTGCCCTAGAGGAGAGTTACTGTTGTTTGGTTGGACCTATTTTCAGCATCAACTCCCGGAGATTAAGACCACAAGGGGCAGACTTATTCAAGTTCAGTAGCTGAGCTCGCTCAGTAAAAGGAGTTTATACAGGTTTATACAACCCCAGTGACTGAGCATGCTCAGTGGGAGGGAGTTTATCCTTTAAATAACCTTCCACTAGAGGGGCTAAAGAGCACAGAATATTCTTGAATATATTCAGTGCCTGTGATAGGATTTGACCAATGAACATGCTCCAAAAGGAGACCAACTGAGCATGTGCAAGACTATATTATACAACAGGGAACCACTCTCTTAATCGAATATTCATTAAATAGCATGAATATGTATTAGATGCCAAAATTATAAGTTGAATCCCAGCCAAAGGTGGGGTTTTGCTTACTTTCCTGGGGCCAACCCACATTTTGCTAGCTGAGGTGTGCATGCTTTACTTTTGTGTTAAGCTTATTTTTAGCAGATGGCTGCTCACTCTCTTGAGCCAGCCTGCACTCTGTACTGAACTTTAAGTGTGTATTTCTTACTTTTGTATTAAACCTGGTGTGGGGCCTGCTCAATCTCTGGAGTTAGGCCTCACTTTCTCTGTGAAGTCTGTATGTCTTATCTGTTACGTAAAACCTGTTTTTTTCTTCTACTGTGACTCTGCTCTTGAATTCTTTCCTGTGGTGGAGTCAAGAACCTGTTAAGAGGATGGGGTGGGTTGAGGCTGGCTATCAGGCCTCCCTGACCCAGTCCTCCGGCGTCACTGAGGGAAGGAAACTTAAGTTTCACTGCATGCTCTTTTTGTACAGTTAGGAAAAAGATTCAATGTGTATTTACGGTATTCATTTTTCAGAAAAAATCTAAGTTTTTTTTGAAAGAAAGCTTAATGACATGAAATCTGATAGAGAAGGGAAACTTACTGTATAGTTAAGTAGTTTGTTTATATGATGAGTACTCATTGAACTCTTACTTTGTACTAGTTACTATTGTGGGCTCTTGGATGCAGGTGATTTCAGACAGTGATGAGTGCCCTGAAGAGGGAAGCAGGCGTTTTGATGGCAAATAACTGGGGTGAAGGTGGGGACTATTTTAGGAAGGATGGCCAGAGAATTTCCCTTTGAAAAGGTAACACTTGAGCTGACTGCTGAATGATGAGAAGCCAGTGATGTGGAGGATCAGGGTAGGGCAACAGAGTTCCAGGCCTGAAGACAGCAAATTGTTCCCTTTGAAAAGGTAACACTTGAGCTGACTGCTGAATGATGAAAAGCCAGTGATGTGGAGGATCAGGGTAGGGCAACAGAGTTCCAGGCCTGAAGACAGCAAATTGGGGAACCATTCGGGAAAGCTTCAGAAAGGAGGCAAGCTTGTGTTCCATGCATGGGTCAAGTGGAAGCTACAGCCCCCCATTAACCTGGAATGAAGAGCAGAGAGTGCAGGAGACCGTGTGATTTGTTGTGAAGCTTAATGCAAGAATTTGAATGCAGGCTTCGTCATAGCATCCTGATCTGACTTTCCTCATCTGTAAAGTGACGATTGTTGTATCACCTCAATCCACCTCACAAAATTGTCAAGTTGAGAGTCAAAATGAGATAACATGTTACTTCTGTAAAGTATTAGGTGTTAAACAGATGAAAGTGGTGGTAGTAATGGCAATACAGGAATAAGGCTAGTTGGGCAGGCTTAGGTAAAGATAGCATATTTCTGCCAAACCTTACAGAAATGAAGTTGTATATCACATTTCATTTCTGTACATGCTAACATGTGGTTTCCATTCTTTTTTTATTTAACCATTTTGGTGGATAAAAGAAAATTAAGTTCATTAAGAGACATATTCTAACTCTTCCTTATATCCAAAGGATGTGTTTTTTTAAAACCAGTGCTCTGTATTTATAACCCCACTGAGGCAGCATCTCATGTCTTTTACACAGTGCTTTTGGAATTAATCTTGGCTCTGTTGTCACTTCCTTTGTGTGTTTTTCTTCAGGCTTACTTTTGTTAAATGGAGTTTTTTGCCTTTGGAATCATCATTGCTTAATTAGAGTCTTGTATATTGTAAATGATAAACTTTATTACAGTATGCCACTGTTTATGTCTTTGTATCATGCTTTGTAAAGTATAAAGTCACTACAGAATTTTTTTTTTATACTAAAAGACAGTTATTCAGTAGCTCCGATTAACTGGGAAGAGAAGAAAATGTACCTAAGGGTAGCTAAAATAATGAACTTCAAGCATTGTTAAAGGACAGGAGAGCTCCAAGATCTTCTAAAACCTATAATCTATTATTATTTTAGACAAAATTCTACCAGAATTGGTTAATGTTTTTGTCTTTTAAAGGAATTTTCTTTATTTTTCAATTGGCATATATTGATTGTACATATCGGTGGGGTATAGAGTTGTATTTCAATACACGCATGCAATGTATGATGATCAAATCAGGGTAATTGGCATATTCATCATCGCAAAAATGTGTTATTTCTTTGTGGTGAGAACATTTGAGCTCCTCTCTCAGCCATTTGAGAACATACAATAAATTATTGTTATTGTAGATGCCTAGCACTACAATACACCAGTATACTTATTTTTTCTAGCTGTAATTTTGTATTTTTATAGCACAGTTGAAGCACCAAGTGCTTCCAAGATAGGAGATGCAAAGTAAAGAGGTCTAAAGGAAGGTGGAAGAAAGCCCCTGTCATGAGAGTGAAACAGAACCCAAAGCTCAAACCCCCTTTGCCTGTGCCTGTTGGCAGTGGAGGAAAACAGCCCTGAGCACCTTAAATAATGCTCAAGAACACCAGCACTTTACTGTGTACTATACAAAACTTGCAATCCTGAGTCATCAAGGAAAAGTTCAGATTTGAGGGGTGGGATGGGTTGAGGCAGCAGTTTCTTCCCAGATTGGTTTTTACAAACTATTTTTAAGTTTCATTATTTAAAATCTCCTTTACCTGGAATGCATGCTTCTCTGGCTGACCTTCTACCCCTGGGGTGTCAGATATGTAAGGCATTGTGGTCTTGAGTATCCTGCTTAAAACTAACTTCATGCGTCAAGAAGTTATTTAAAATCTCCTTTACCTGGAATGCATGCTTCTCTGGCTGACCTTCTACCCCTGGGGTGCCAGATATGTAAGGCATTGTGGTCTTGAGTATCCTGCTTAAAACTAACTTCATGCGTCAAGAACTAAAACTATCTTGTTTTCTAACAATCTTCAATTTGTAATCTTGCTTAGAGCGCTGCATGTCCCTGTGCACAGAGCATTTACAGCTCTTGGAAAATCTACTTGCTCGTTATTGATCCAAGCTGGCTTTATTGGTCTCACTCTGAGCCTTATTTAAAGTTAACATTGCTAACCCCTCAGTTATTTTTTCATAACTTTTCAGTACAACAGGGAGGTAGCATAACATCTTTATTCTGGATTTGCCATACAAGCTGACACAATTCCTGTTTAAATGTCTGGCTGGAGTAGTCTAAGGTCATAAACATTTAATTCTAAGGAACAGCAGTACCATTTGGATTGCTGTTAAACAGTGTATGCCCTGAAATAGGAAAGAAAGGAGGATTATTGATCATTGAGATGCCTTTGTCTCTCCCATCCTTTCACTAGCCTGTAATTGATTGAGCCTTTTGACGCCCATCGTATTTTCCCCCTTTTGGAAATTTAGCTCTGATCCCACCCCACATGGTGCCTTGCAGATGGATTACTTGAGACTTTTTTTTTGTGGTATCTCTATTTTGTTGTTTACATTAATGAGCTTACTGCACAATATCACAAGAGAAATAGTGTTGCTATTTGGAATGTTAATGAATTGCCTGCCTGGCCAATTGCCATTTGTTCCAGTGTGTGAATATGGGGTGTGTGTGTGTGCGCCCGCGTGCGTGTGGAAAAAAGAGACGAGTAGCAGGGGTGGATTGCATTTTTTTTCCTCTTTGCAGCCAGTGACGTGAGCCGTGCCTGGAACAATCAGACTCGCTGAAAACAGGGTAGTTGAAGATGCTGGGGGAGGCAGCCTGGTGCTTCTTAAGCTAAAGCAGATCACGGCGCTCAGGAGCTGCTCAGGCACAACCCGGCAGAGTTCCTCCAGCATTAGAGCCTGGTAACGGTTGGCAAGTGCCTTTTTATTTCTCCAAAACCCTTCCCTAGTTGACCTTCAAAATGATTGGCGTGAATAGTGTTCAGAGTACCAGCAAGGTACGAGTGAGGACCTCAGGTTCCGTGAAATACTCCCGGGAGGATTCTATCCGGCGGCAGTCCCACCGGTCAAAGTCTATGAAAATTTCCAACTCCTCAGAGTTTTCTGCTAAGGAGACCAAGGTAAAGAAATGCCATGTTAAACCTTATTGACAATTGCATGGTAAGATAACAGAATTTGATACGGTCATTGCCAGTGTCTAATGTGCAATGACAGACTGAGAAAGTAACAGGGAGTATAAAATGGCTCTAAGATAGTCAGGAGAGATTAGTTGGAAAGGATGGTACCTGAACTCCAGATACAAGGATTGCTGTGGCGTGGGTCAGTTTTGTAAAGAGCCAGTTCGTGGATGAGAAGGATGGGAGCGATGCTGAAAATGAGATGATTGTGAGAAACTGTTGGTTGGCACATTGATCTTGTTTTTAGTCTCAGAAAGGTTGCCTTGACAAATGATTTTTCAGTGCGGTGTATTTTTAGAACATCAGGCATATAGAGATATTATGTATGATTTTATCTTTCAGTTAATTCCTTTTGCCTTCTCTCCTCTGGTCTCCCCTGCCCTTCCCAATATGTACAGCTGATGTGTAGTAGTGACCTGGTCCAGTTATCCTACATTCTTGTCATGTTGAGAGTCATTAGCCGCAGGTATATGTAATTAGGAGATATTTCTTCTTTCGTGTTCCTTACAGGTATATGTGCTAATGCCATGCTGCCATTAAACCACTTGTGTTTTGGGGGCTGTCTTCAAGATAATATCACCTTTGTTCATGTGAAATATGAAGGGATTGATTACGTAGTGAAGTGGGCATTTACTACATGCAACATATTCCTGAGATTCTTCCCACCACCATCTGTGTGAGCAGGGTACTCAGAAACACTCCCACTCCACAGGTTTAAAAATGGAATAATAGAATCATAGGATCACAGAACTAGAGGGCTGGAGATGTAGATGATTATAACGGAGATTCATAGCTTGAGAACATGCAGAGAAACCTTCAGGAGGTGGATCTCAGTGTCATTTCAGCCTTCTCGTGGGTTATATCCAGACCCACTGAGGGTGACCTCAGACTTTCAGCCTCTCACCTTCACCACTGCCCTGTCCTGCTCCCACCCCATCCCCTTCTATGGCATTACATTGTTGAAAGACTCTGATAATAAGAGGTTCCCCTCAAAATATGGCAGGGGAGGGGGTGTGATTAAGGAATATGTTGGCTTCCTGTCCCCTCCCCCTTAGATTATGACACAGTGCAGACTAACCCCATCAATCATTAGCAAATTGTCTGGCTCCAGTAAGTCTTCAGATGTGGCTTTTTCCTCCTCAGTATTTTTTTTTTTAAAAAAGCTGAGTATCTTTAGGGAGAAAGATGTGTCTTCAAAGTCCTTTAATGTGACCTGAATGGGGGTGTATGGGTTTCTACTGAAACTGTTATGTGACCTCCTGTGGCGTAACGACTGTGGTCTCCTTCTGAGGCCATAAATAAATGAATGTATGTGGGTATGTATGTGATTCTCAACATGGCTCTAAAGTTGGCTTCTATAAAGAGCACTGAGAAACGTCTGTGTATTTTGTTTTATATATTTTAATGTACATCACACCCGTAGTATGCAGTCCAAAGCTAAGGGAAATTAAAAGGTCAACATCATGAGCTCTGTCGTAGCTCTGCCACCTATCCTGATGATAATTTAAGTATTGTAACATTAGTGGGCTCACCCAGAACTATGGTTGTGTAGTGTAATGTTGGAATCTAGCATAGATGCCAAATTAATAGATTCTCTACCATCGTCTGCTTGTCACACAGTACACGTACTCTTATTTGATATATGTCTGTGCAAGAGAAGACCCAGCACTTTTTTTGGAATATTGCAAACATTCAAGGAGTTAACAGTATGAAATGCTCCTGGTCAAATTGAAGTCAGTAGGCCATCCCATGGTACTTGGGAGATTATAGTTAGTTTTTTAAAAAAAATATTACCATTATTTTGAGGTATACGGGGTCTCTAAGTTCTGGAGTGTGTATTCAAGAATGTATCCAAGCTCCAAATATGTCACGAGATTTTTTTAGGATTTTCCAGCCTTTTAAAGTTGAGCACCAGAAGTAGCCAATAGAAAATCATTAGAATAGGAAGGAAATTAGGTAGATTGAACCTAATCATTCAGTAGCCATTTTTGTTCCCTAAATGAAGTAAATGGAATAACACTACAGGCTTGTACCCTAAATTAGTAAACTAAATTATACTATAGACATGTGTAAATACACATCAACATGTATTCTTATGCACAGTTTACACATTTTACTCCATGTTAATCAGAATTCTTACCTTACTTACATCTCATAGTATTCTTTAGCACGTAAATTCAAACCAGTGCTTCTTTCTGCTAATCATGTAAGTAGTACTTTTTGATTATCTGACTCTTCATCCAAAATGCAGGATGTCTAATCTAATAAATAGAATACATTTTATACCCCCTCATCTTCCCCCACCCCCCACGCCCCATGAGAAAGATAAGGGATCATTAACTCACTTTCCCGGGATTTAATTTTCTCTTTCTAGAACTCTCTCTGCCTCTTTCTAGAATAGGTGTATAATCATTTCTCCTTGTCAGGGAGTTGGAATTATAACATGTTTTGTATTCCTTGAAAACATTCTCTTCTAATGTTTCTAACTTCTGTTAGGTTGACCATTAAATACAATTTTTATTTAAATATCAATTTATCTGCAGTCCTCAATTTTTATCTGTTTTATTCGTTTTGTTCTTAATTTGAAGCAAGTGATAAAGGACTTCTGAAAGTAGTAGATACTCTTTGCCTTTGATTTTAATGAAATATCTTAAAAGCCTTCCTTGATCTAATCATTTTAAATTAAGAAAATTGAATTTTCTAATCCTTCATGACTCGTATTGACATAGCCTGAAGAATATTATTTAACCTTCTAAGACACATCTTCTATATGTTATTTCCTTCAAAACTTGATTCTCTGTGTGGACTTTGTTTCCCCTTTAGGGTGGGTTTAAATCCCATTCTTCCCTCTGGAGAGAGTGTGGCTTTGTCCTTTTCTGGACAGTATTGCTTATGTCTATCTCTGAAACAGATAAAATGGGCAGGACACAAATATTAATATGTTTTGGAAGGATATTTATGTGTTTTGTGGAGACCGGCATTCATTATTAGAATGTTTTAATTAAGTCTGACTTTGAGTTTAGCCATTTATCAGTTTAAGCGTGTGCTATTGGAAGCATTACCAGCATTCCTGGCCGTGAGGGGGCAGTGCAGACCTCCCGGCTGTCAGGCCCAGCTGGTTGCTCTGCCTTTGACAGAAGTAACATTTTGGAATCAATTTATTAAAAGTGGAAAACTCCAGAATTGGGGGTGTGCAGTGTAAAAAGATATTGATTTAAGCCTCAATTCTGCCATATTTCCACATTCCTCCTCTGAATTTAGTTATATCTTAAATATAAATTATTTTGGTATTGTTTAGTTTTTAACTTGATTAAGGATTAAAACATAAATCTGTAAAAGTTCAGGTTAATAATATCACTTTTTTCCTTCCCTCTCTCTTGCCAAATTACATTATACATTTAGGTGGAGGGAAATCTCAACCTGATGCTTTTGTTTCTTCACGTTGTTGTGGGTGAATACAACATACATGGTTAATCCTTGAGGCATTTTTTGAGGAATAGTATGTGGCTAGAGATTAAACCAGCCATTCTCTAGTTAATAATCATGTGGATTCAGATGAACTGGTTAAAGCTATTAATAATAGAGCAAAGAAATCAATTTCCTTGACAATGAAATTTTAGAAATTTCCAGTAAAACTCCTGGTACTTCAGGTAGTGCATAATGAAAACATCAGCTGTTTGCTTTCTTGGCCAGGATGCTGCATCCTGGTGGTCTAGCCTGGGTTTTGCTCACTCATTAGCAACATGCACTTAGACAAGTCGCTTCTCCCTGAGACTCTTCTGTAAAATGTAGGTGTTGGTAAAATGATGTCTTTGTTCTGAGCAATGTTAATTTTAGAAGTCTTGCGGAGGTTGGTGGGATTATTTCCTGTGTTATAAGAGCCTAAAGACTGAGCTAGATTTAAGGAAGAGGTTTATTTAAACCCCTTATCTGGGGTTTAAATAAACCTCTTCCTATTCTAGGAGATGTTAGCCATGAACATGTTAAAGGAAAATGGAAGAGCTTTGCTCCAAAACACAGCTATGGGAGTCCCTAGTTCATTGCTTTCTAAAATAGGTTGCTGTAACGTTGAAAGGCACCATCAACTCTGTTCTCTCCATTCTGCAAGGGCTTTGCTTGCTATTTCTTTAGCCTTGTTGGGTAAATGCTAATCATTTCTCCCTGAGAGTCAAATCTATACACAAAGGCACTTGAAGAAATCATTGCAATGCCCCTTTGCAACCTGAAGGTTTAGTGGGAGGTTTGCAGAGTTTTGTCATTCTTTCCTAGATCACTTTTGTTCTTCAGACTAAGGATAGAGTGTGGGAAGGAGATTCTGGTCAAATGGGTCATTCATATATGCTTGTTTAAAAATGTATATCTCGGGCTGGCCCGGTGGCGCACTGCTACAGTGCGGCGCTCCTGCCGAGGGTTCGGATCCCACATTTTCTCTGTGTGGACTTTGTTTCCCCTTTAGGGTGGGTTTAAATCCCATTCTTCCCTCTGGAGAGAGTGTGGCTTTGTCCTTTTCTGGACAGTATTACTTATGTCTATCTCTGAAACAGATAAAATGGGCAGGACACAAATATTAATATGTTTTGGAAGGATATTTATGTGTTTTGTGGAGACCGGCATTCATTATTAGAATGTTTTAATTAAGTCTGACTTTGAGTTTAGCCATTTATCAGTTTAAGCGTGTGCTATTGGAAGCATTACCAGCATTCCTGGCCGTGAGGGGGCAGTGCAGACCTCCCGGCTGTCAGGCCCAGCTGGTTGCTCTGCCTTTGACAGAAGTAACATTTTGGAATCAATTTATTAAAAGTGGAAAACTCCAGAATTGGGGGTGTGCAGTGTAAAAAGATATTGATTTAAGCCTCAATTCTGCCATATTTCCACATTCCTCCTCTGAATTTAGTTATATCTTAAATATAAATTATTTTGGTATTGTTTAGTTTTTAACTTGA